CGCAAATAAAAACTGAAGTTGAATATCTATAAAATCTTTTCAACACAAAACGCTTTTCCCTTCGATCTATTGTCGTCAAAAGTCATTTCCGATCAAAAACTTTTTCCCAGACATACTTTCCGTTGTAAGTTTCAGTTTTGTTGTTTTACCTCTTAACTTTTCAATCACAGGGCGAAAGTATCATGCGCAAAGATTTTTAATCACTTTATAATTGATTAAGAACGTGATCTGATCGTGTTTATATTTCTAAGCTTATTACTCTTCAGTGAGGGCAAATCAGGTTAGCGAATATTCTCATCATATCACAGGTTCATAAGATTTGTACGAATAAAGCGCCTTAACTACCTCTACTCCATTCCAGATCCAGCATAGGCGAATGAGCAAGTGTAAATGTACATATCCTATCGCTGCACTCATTAGCCTGGATTGTTGCTCAAACGTTCTTCTAACGAACGAATATGAAGGTCGCTAAGTGAAGCGAAAGAAATGTCATCACTTTATTCATAAAGCAAGGAACATAGGCAGTTCTTGCAATTGTTATTTTTTTTGCTTTCAATATTCTACGCAACATAGCTAAATAGATACTACTGTTATAGAATTCACAAGGGAGGTTTCGTTGCAAACCATCTGCTTTGTTTTTCACAACTTCTCGATCAAAAGTATTCTTGCTTGCAAAATGTTGTTGTAGCCTTTTAAACTGTAATATCAAATCATTCCCTCCCTTCTCCGTCAACTATGGTTTTCGCTAAATTTTTTCTGTGCGGCTTCTCAAACACTCTTTCAAAATATTTTACAATTTCAGATTCTACAATGAATATTTCTCAAGAAGTGGAAGAATGCGGGTTTTTTGAGGGATACACACTTCAGCGTTTCATCATCATTACAGCCTTCTCAACGGTTTCTCTTTTCGGTGTACTGGCTAATACTGTAAGCAATTTTTGATCTTTTTTGAAGAATTCAGGATTAATGGCTGATTTTAGTTGCTGATGGCCGTCTTTTGGAGGACTCTTCCTGTTTCCGTACATTTAGCCTGTCTTGCATCAATGGATATGCTCATATGTCTTACATATCTGCTACTATTTGGTGTAGATGCCGGATTCGTTTATCTCAAAGACAAGGTGATTGCTATTGCAAGAAAGGATAATAAAAAATCGCCACTTTTCGACTGACGTCATCAATCGCTCAAATTTATATTTTTGCGCAACCTGTTCGTAGTATATAGTAAAAAATGTAGAGGATAGATCATCACTTTATGCTGTTAGCTAAATATTAGTCATCTAAATCTTTTACAGACGTTATTTTTCCTTTACCATCGCTACATTGTGCCGATATTCTTCATAGCAAAGACTGTTCAGTTTGCTATACCATTTCTTCTTATTCTTATAACACTTGAAAGATATGTTTGGACTACAAAAAAGAGGACCAGGTGCTCTATTTTACTTTGATCTATAATTCTATATTTTCAAAATCAAATCTTTATAACAGCTTGTAATGATTTAGTTACTTTAGGCAGCTATTCGCTCCAATGTTCAGCGACAAAGGTCGATGCGTGACTGTCCTTATACTGGTCGGACTAAGTGTTTTACTTAGACTTCCAGTGCTATTCGCTACTGAGGTAGGGATGTAGACAATTAAAGATTATCAGTAGTAACATCACATTAACACAGCAAGATTCAAAACATTAAAAATTAAAGAATTATTTTCATGCAGTTTGTCAAGAAAAATGATGTCTCTAGTTTCTTCCCTGTGGTCTTCCTTAGGATTTTAAAATTTAAAAATTAGAGCTCGAAGTGTGTAAAATAGTTCTAAACTAGGTTAACATAATTATATTTGTCTGTGT